TATGAATATATGCACATTATATCTAATAATAAAAAAGATATATTATAATGGGAGGTAAAAGTTGAGTAATTGAGTATAAAGTCTTTATGAGATATTAAAAATAAAATAAATAATTAAAAAAAGAAAAATGCTCAAAAAAAGGAGAAAAAAAATAATGAAAGCCATAGAGAGGTGCCACATCACCTTCTCTATGTTCCTCCTTTATATATAGAGAGAGATTTTTTTCCCTTTTGTTTCAATAATTAAAGTCATAACTCGTAACAATGATATTATTATTGGCAAAGATACGTCTCCAATTTTTAAAAAAAATTCAATATACTTATGAAATTAATAGTGAGCAATAGATTTTAGTTTCAGAGATGAAATATCATATTAGCTTTTAATAACAAGTATTTCAATTAATTTAAGAGTAGATTGTATTAAACAAGTTAGACTTTTCAAAGTAAATAGTATGTCATATGTAATTTAAAACGTAAAGAATTTAATGGTGGTTTTTTTTTCATAATTGTCGAGGCGGAATAAAATATTTCTCGGTCCATTCCATTTATAAAATTTGTCTCTTAAAAAATTATATACCTAGCAAATGTATTCACATTGCATAAGAATAATTGCATTTTTTTTTTAAAAAATGATATACAAACGTCATTGAATTATTACCCCTACTGTAATATAATGTATGTACGTTTCGGATATTTTATAAATTATATTTTAAAATAAATATGGAATATAATATATTTAAAATAGTTTGTTTTTGCCCGCCTAGATAGACCGCAAAAATGTCCCTTTAATGTTTTTTACTACTATCTTTGATTCTTATTATTTGATGTTTTTTACCTTTTCATTTTGAAAAAGAAAAATCATGTTGTACATAATTAAGAAGATTTTATTTGTTTTGGTAAACTTATTCATATTTAGAAATATAGTACAAATTTATTGAGGGTAATTTAATTTTTTAAAATATAGAGTGTATCAAAAAATAAAAACACACCCTTCATTCAGTGTTTTACTTATATTTCAAAAATAAATTTTCACTCTCACTCTATCACTTTTAACATATTAAGAAAAAATCATTACTATTTTTTCTATTTTATTGTCTGCATCAATTACTTGTTTCCATATCATTTTTTTAAGATCTAAAATTATACATCAATATTATAATAAAATACAGCGTGAAAAGTAGACAAATAAAAATAGGGTAAAAAACTGAAGTATCTTAATTACTACTACATAACAATACTTTTTTTTCAATTATATAACAACAGTTTTTTTACAAAACTAGAATTTATATTTAAAATAAAAAAAAATAAAAAAAGAAACGTACAAAATAGTCAGCCATGCTTATCCCACATCCCTTAATTTTCTCCAATTATTTTACCTTCCCTGATTTACTCAGTTTTGTTATATATTCTCTCCCATGAAGAGAGGTTTCTAACAAAAATAAATCTCCCTGTCAACTCTGATTGAGTATTCAAAATGGATACCAATAATATTTCAATTCTAATACAACACAACGGGCAATGGGACTCATCAGGTATTTGAATAAAAAAGGATTGATTTGGTATTTTTTTACGTGGTTAATATATTTGATTTTTAATCACCATCTGTGTTTAATTTTTTGATAGTTAAATCATTGGCTTATAAAGTACGTTGTTGTGGTGTAATATAAAATTTATATGATTTCGTTAATAGTCTGGTGCATCGATTGGATGGATTTTGTTGTTGAATAAACATTAAATATCAGTAGTCATTTTTGGTATAATATTAGGTTTTTGGTATATTATTAGGCTCAGCTGATAATGAACATCGTTTTTTTTTTTCTGCAAGT